TTTTTTTTGTGTCTGTTACCACTTTTTCTCAGCTCTCACCGAACCGATTTCTTTCAATGATACGTCAAAAGATCACAAATCGTATCTAGTCGAAGACATTACCCTTAAAAATTGAAAAAAATTCCCTCGTTCCCCGTAAATGGGGGAAACCTCCAAAAAAATTACAAATTTAAAAATCGCTAATTTTCGACATTTTTTCAACTTTTTTTACTTAAAAGTACCATAACTTTTTCAAAAATGAACATATCAATATAACTCTTTTTTATATAGATGCATAATATTATTACCTTTCATTTGGTATATTTTTTTTATAAATTTAACCCTTAACCTTCCCACAAAGGGGGATTTAAAATGATAACTTTTTCAACTTAACTTTTGAAAATGTTCCGGAAGGTCTGACACTTTTATATATATCTTAAATTAAAGCTAATGTGATGTTCTTTATTATGCAAAAAAAAAAAATTTCGGACTTTATTTTGTCTTCACGGTGAAAATAGCTACCGAATGCTATTATTGTGTAAATATTCTCGATTTTATTTTTTACATTTTTAACTTTATAATGATATAACTTATTGAAAAGTGTATGGATCAACATAATTTTTTTATGAGAAATAATATTTTTTAATAATCCCTTTTTAATTTGACATACTTTATCTGAATCAGGATATTAATAACGAACTAGCAGATCATGTAGCTTTCGGAATAATCCACCAATTTTTTTAAAATTAAACACTATCTAAAGATTTGCATCGAAGCGCTTTTTTTGATAGTGATTTTAATCACTGTCAGATATCATTATACTTAACCGAACTATGGCCATGTCACCACTGTGCTGCGATCCCCCTATGCTGGGTTTTTTTAACCATTAATTGATAATAGAAAACACTTCTCTATGATGTTGCTTCAACGCATTGCTGTAAAATAAATGATTAATTTTATTTCAATCAACATTATTTCCCTATAAAGTCCATTTCATTTGTTGGCTATTGTTTTAGATTTTCTGATCAAACAACAAATGATATATGATATATATAATGGAATGCAATCCATATTGGATAATGCTGTAAGTCAATGTACTTATAATAAAAAAAGAATACAACATCCATTGGTATGTATAATATTATTATGCTAACTCTTAAAAATAATGTTTGAATTTTCATATTCATGTATTAGATGTTTTTAACGAAAACAATGAAAGGGAAAACTTTGTCAAATAGTAAATAATGTTATAATAAATTTAATTATATTAAATTCGTATTATATATTTCAGAAAATCAGTAGGTTACATGAAGATAAAGTCCAGACATTAAGAAATGAATTAATAGCTAAAATTATTGTCTCGTATGTTATTATTAATTAGTAAAATAAATATTACTAACCTATGAATCTTAATTTGCATACAAAAAGCGTTAGCTACGTAGGTCGGATGTATAGTAAACGGTTTTTCTGTGGGAAAATGTTGAAATTTTACTTCTCTCATAAAAAAATCTTTATACATACATAACGTGTATATGTATCAGTGTTTATTAAACATACTAACCCTCATTTTTTGTTAATTATGATTTTTTCAATAAAAATATATAGATTAAAATTTTATTTTTTTGGTGAGAATTGTTAATGGCAAGTATATTGTAAAAAAAATAATTCCAATGGATAGATTTTAAGTAAGATTAAAGGGTTACTTTATATTTTCAAGAAAGAATAAAAATTTTCCTATTAATTTCAGAATGGCCTAAGAAAACGATAGCACAATTGGGTCGCGGCACAGTGTGGACGTGGCATAGTTGAGACAAGTATCTATCAAGTATCTAAAATTGTTATTTTTAGCTATCATCCATGTAATTCGCTGTGGCTGCATCAAATATAATTAAGTTTTATACGTTTGGGGTACGAAGTTCGACGAACCCCGCTCATCGAACTAGGTTTTTTTTGCATTTTTTCTTAATTCTGTTTTGAAGTGAAAACAAAATTCAAAGTTCGTTTGATTTTTAACACATTTATATTGAATAACATCAATAAAATCAAGGACACCATCACTGTAGTTTCCCCTTGCGAGAAAAAATTTCTTATTCATATTAAAATATTTTACAATATGGTTTATTTTTGTGTCTGTCATTAATTTATCTCAGCTCTCACTTGGCAAATTTTAAAATGACCAATACGTTAAAAGAACACTATTTTTATTTTTTTTAACTTATAATCACCAAATACTGACAAAATCCTTTAATTTTAGAAATTAGAAATCAAAAAAACACAATAAAATGATATCAGTAAAATAAAATAATTTTTAATGATTATAAACCAATATATACTTTACATAACCAAATTTTTATGCTAATTTCAAGTCTAAAATTAGATATTTTCAATCACCCGTTTTTTGAGATTATTACAAATTAGAAACACATGAAAAAATTAATTTACAAAAAAAAATTTTATCAAATTATTATTAATATTTATTATGTTAAAAATAATCCGTATAAAATTTCAATTCAAAATGACATTTTTAACTTTCTTTTTTTTTGATCCTTTCAAGTTGATTTTTATGAAAGTTTATAATTTAAAAATGTTGAACTTTTAAACATAATTTTAGCTCAACTTGCAAGTTTTTAATATATATTTTTAAATAGAAAATTATATGTGGAATTGTCCTATTTTTTAGATTGATATGTAATTAGAAACATATTTAATTTTAATAAACAATAAGTTTATGAGGAAAACTCAAAATTTCATTAAAAATGTTTCATTGTATTTTTATTGTAATTAATCGTTTAAATAGAAGTTATACTATGCATTTCTGTGCAACTCTTGGTGTTTAAATAATTATTTATATTGATATACTGCACATAATACCTTCTGCTTGTTACGTATTTTTTAATTAAAATGTATTTATTGATTATTCATACGCAACCTAATAATCAAACATAAATATTTTTTCTAATTGCAAATTTGAAATAGGCGCAAAAATTGATTTAAAAAAGTATATTTTGGTCTCTGATGAAAATTCCTTATACACCAATAAATTTATTTATAAGTAACAAACAATTTATTTTGAAAAGTATTGCATCAAGCCCTTAAATTTTTATACACGTTTGCCATAAAAGTAACTACTTTATAACTTTTTTAAACTCTCGTAAAAATTACAATAGTAAATTATTAAATACCAATTTCATACTACGTTGAATTACTTTAATAAATGTTTAATCACATATTATACTTATAAATCTTAGAACTAATAATTAGGAACAATGAAGGAATAGGAGTTAATTTTGCTTTTGAATAATCTACCAGTTTCTTAAAATTTAACACTATTTACATATTTGAATTAAAGCGTTTCTTATGATAGTGATTTTGATCACCGTCAGATACCCTATACTTGTCCCAACTATGCCACGGCCTCTTTGTGCTGTCTTTTTTTTACTAACATTAAAAGACACTGTTTACTCTTACTTTAATATTCTTGTTCCAAGTGTTTGTTTTAAAGCTAAAATTGCGTAAACTTAAATACTACTCGATTATACAGCACATAAACATTTTGGTGAGCAAATGTCAATAAATATTAATTATTAATATATCAGTAAATGCTAATAATACTTATAAGTAAATTATGTTTTAAGTATAAATCATTAATGTTATTTTAAAATATTCCTTAAAATCAGTTTTCAGCCATCAACGGACTGTGGAAAAAAAATGTCCGACAAAATCACAATACGAGCTGGCCTTGTTAATTAAGAGCATTAACACCTTTTTTTTTATAACACATAGATAAGAATTTCTCCACTTTGTGATCCCCGCTTGTATATAACTATAACGCTTGTATAAAAGTTATGTTATTACAAGTATAGCTATTTTTATATTGACCGTTTTCAGTTTTAATATGCAACACAACAAGTAGTTTCCATTAAAATTTTAAGCGTTACTCCTAACATCTACTCTCAGAAAAAATTGTCTATAATAATCTTTATAGTATGGTTTATAAAATTAAATCAAATTTTATAGTTTTATAAAAAAATCATTATATGACGAAAAAATGATTAGTATTCTTAATAAATCACACTTTATATATTTTTAACAAATATTGATTTTCTCTATAACATTAATTCTACTCATCACCACATCTTTTAATTTAATTTTTAAAATATAGAGTAAAGTTATCCAAAAGCACCCTAATCTTCATATATAAATATGAGTTTTAGTAACACTGGTTCAAAAGTTATCATTGGTATTAGTAAATGTTTAGACAAAATTTAGTGTTAGTACAATTACCAGATAGGTTTTGATGATTTTTTGTTTAGGTATATGTTTTACTTTTCGAGTATATACTCGGCAAGTAATTTGTTAATGACTATAATTATTTTTCTATAATAAACTAAATATTTATTGCAGTTTATGAAAAAATCATTATTTAACGAAAAATTGGGAGTAGTATTTTTAATAAAACATGTATATGTGTATTAGTATATATAATTTTATGAATTTAAATTAATAACTGTTACAAAATGTTAAGGATATTAGCCACTTTCTTAAATTATTGATAATTATAGTTGCCTGTAGGAGGTGAGGCGCAGAATTTGTTATTCTTATCATTAGACATTTCTAGGGCGTTCTTCTCCTCCCGCCTAAGTATATAAATATTAATAATTTTCAAAATACTAGTCTTAAAGTTGTTATCAACCTATTAATTTCCTCATTTTTAGTATAAGTGGTTCTATATTTCTGGTTTAAATGTTTAAATATAAAATTTAGAATCAGTCTAAATACCAAATAGGTTACGATGATTGTTTTTAGGACTGTGATTTACTTCTCGAGCATATACTCTGCAAGTTCTTTGTTAATGGTTAAACTGGAAGGTATATTAATTCGATCAATTGTAGCAGGTACTTAAATTAATTGTATCAAAATTATTAAACATAAATTAAACTTAAATTGATATTTTATTTCAGGTGTTACAATAAAAGATGTATTGTTATCATTATTAATAAATAATACAATTGTAAGCTTCATTCAAATTACCATTATGATGTTAATATCTTACATTTGTTTTGATAACCCGTTTGCTATTTCAAGAAATCTTTATTTAATGATTATCTCTTTAATAGTTTCATCTTTGATAGGATTTTTTTTTGGTAATTCAACTACTCTTATTATTTATTTTTACCTAATACTCGTATTAAATTAAAGATAAATCACTCTTTGTTGTGCACTCTTCTAAATAGAACAAAATATATAATTTTGCTCATGCATGAAAGAAAAACAAAGCAATTACAGTTTTACTCGGTGTCTGAAAAAAACAATTGCATCTTTTTTGTTTACTGGTAAAGTATGGTCGAAAATTACCAGTCCGTTTTACGAGTACGCGCATAAAGTGAAATTTTTTTCAGAGTCGTTTAACTGATAGAATATTAGAAAGAAATAATGGCCTTATGTTAACTGAAATAACTTATGTAAGTTTTTAATTGGACATTATGAAGATATCGTGTAAAAATTGCATCTATTGTGTTTTTTTAACATTATTAAGCAAAATCAAAATTATTTTATATTGAATATTTAATGCATTTTAAATAACATAACTTAAATAGTCGAGAATACAATGCTAAATTATAATATAAAATATAATGTATTACTTACAATTATTATTTATTAATAAAATTATACAGAGTGTTCAGTAAGTAAGGAAATAGGTAAATTGCTACAAATAATGAAATCAATAGAAACCCGTTTCCTTACTAACTGAACATTCTATATATAGATAATATTTATTTTTATTTACATCTTATGATAAAATAATTTATTGAAAAATTGATATATTTCAAATTGAAACACATATTTTGAAAAATTAGCCAATACTGGAAAAATTACATAACTATGTCCGATTTTCTTCATAATGAAAGTGCTAGGTGTTGTATTTACCTAGTTATTTACCACTAGCGTACTTTTTTAAAACCTAAAATTTTTACCAGAATTACACAGAACACATTCAAAAAGTACCCTGAAATCTATTAATTTTTGACCGATTTATGAGCTTTTTTTTTTATATTCCATGCGCATAGTTTTTAACAAGTTATAATTTTGGTTTGCGAGTGTCAATTTTGTTGAAATTATATAAATATTATTAATTAATAATAAAAAAAAAAAATGGTGATTGATAATATTTATTATTTATTTAAATTAATTGTATAAATTATTTATTTATTATTGTATGTATTATGTGATACGTTTTAAGTTCATCTCTTATGCGTTGTAAGGGTATAAACTTAATATATTTCAAATTGAAACACATATTTTGAATTTAATATAATGTTTTTTTTTAAAAGTTAATGGCATTTAAATATTTTATATAACTTTATTCGTTTAATACATATAAAACTTTCAATTTTCAAATTTTTGAGATTATTTATAAGTATAATATACGATGGATTACAAATAAGGTATCTAATTGTTTTTTTATGACGTCGATATTTTCAGATACGTAGCATTAATTATCAATGGTAGTAAGGAACATTGTTGTAAGTTTATAAATACACCAAATGACAATACAAAAAGCATTTCTATAGATAAAATCATAATTAACAATAAACGCTCCGTATCTGTGATTACAACGTCATAAAAAAACAATTAACTACCAATTCTTGTATAGTACATGTAAAATATATATTGTATATTACCTCAAAAATTTGAAACTTTAAAATTTTATATTTAATGAACAAAAAAAGTTGCATTATAAATTCAAATGTCATATACTATTAAATTAATAACTCCAAAATTTTATTAAATTCAAAAGATGTATTCCTTTTTGAAAAAAACAAAGTTGAAACCCTTACAAGGCATATGGGATGAACTAAAAAAGTATTACATAGTTAATAATTCAAGAGTTATGTGTATCTAAAGATAACCAAAAATAAATATGTTTAAATTATTTTTATTTTGTAAGTAATTGAGTGGTTTATGATAAAAAATCACAGTTTTAAATATTTAATCAATTGCTTTTGCAATGTTAAGTATAATGACTATTTAAGCGGTGAGATTTTAATTTTCTACGGTTCAGGACTGTTTAAAAACTCCGATGAAAACTCCATTTGTACACGTTTATTGAACTTTAAACGTTCATTGAGCAATCAAATTTTGACTGATAACTAATAAAACAATAGAATCCGTCCATGACGGTCAAACGTGACGCAGACAACTATGCCGATCGTGATATTCGATAATCTTTTTTTTTTCGTATCCTCTGTACAGAGATTTATTACAATAAATTACAAACAATCGTGGAACGTAAACGTTTATCGAAAGAACACATTTGTACGCGTTAATTGAACTTAAACGCTCATCAAACAATAAAATTTTGACTGATAACTAATAGAACAATAGAATCCGTCCGCGACGGCCAAACGTTATAGGCGAACTTGATGCTGACAGTTATGCTGATTGTGATGTCCGATAATTTTTTTTTTTGTACACTGTAAAGAAGTTTCACTTTAAAAAAAAATAATTTTTTTTCAAAAGTAGTTACATTCTATATCATTATTTTCTTCTATTTTTTTTTATAAATTCAACATTGAGTATTGGACTACTCAATATACAGAGTGTTTAGTAAATGAGCAAACAGTTTAATTGTTACAAAAATAAGAACAATAAAAATCAGTTTCCTTATTTACTGAACACTATATATTAATTAATTTCTATACGAAATAAGAAATCGAGTAATAATTATTCATCATTATTTTTATTTTTTCAACTTATAGGTATACTTACTGCTGGAATATCCAAAAATAGTACCGAAGTAATGTTTTTGACGTTTGGCTTTTGCTTGGTTCAAACGTTTACTGGAGGTAATTATACAATATATTTTTTTTTTAAATTCTTGAAATTTTATGAATAACAAATATATTGATAATTCATTTTAATATATCATGTAATGTATAATAAAGTTGAGCGTTTTAATTACAATTTTAAAAATTAAATGCATTTATATATATATAATAAATAAATCCAAAAGTTGATAAATCACAAAAATGTTTTTTTTATAATTCTTCTCGTGAAAAATTTGCTAAAAGTTGAATTAACGTTTAAAAAATATTTACATTGTGTTTTAGGTACAACGATGTTATCTTTCTTTTAGGTAATTTTAATAACAATTATGATTTAAAAATATCATATATTGTCATTATTTATAATAAAAAAAAAATTGTATGATAATAAAAGTTGTTAAAAGTATATGTTTTAAATAAAAACTAATTTTAACTAAATGTTTATAGGTATAGTATGGCCATTAGAAGCACAGAACTCTGTATTAAAAGTTATGAGTGAAAATCTACCAATAACAGTCTGTGGAAAATTGATAAATAATGTTCTGGTAAAATCTTGGTCCATTATGCATCCATTAATATTAATAGATTTGATTAAATCTATTTTTATTTTGTTATTGCACATAATAGCCGTAGTATATTTAAAATTTATTATAAGAGATCCATGGAATATTCAAAAATAAAATTTTTAAAATAAATTATTAAATTATATTAGAGTATATTTTAAACTCTTAAATTAATTTGAGTTAATTAAGAAGTTAGTGCAAATTTTAATATTTTAATATAATTTACGAGTTAAATAGTCATAGAATTAATGAACGTGTCATTTGTTTACTTTCTCATTCTAGCAGATAAGAAAATATTGTTTAAAAAACAATAAAGAGAGCACCTTATTATGTTCGATATTATTTTATAAATCACTTTTATCATATTATTTTATTTATTTACTGATGAACTTAATGATAATATAACATGTTAATTGTGTGACACGAAGAATAAGATTAAACAAAAATAAAGATGCTGGTATGATAAATTTGTAAATAAAAAACGGTAGCACAGTGGGGTCGAGGCACAGTATAGACGTGGCATAGATGAGATAAGTATAGATGATATCTGACAGTGATTAAAATCACTATCATAAGAAACGCTTCGATGCAAATCTGTAGATAGTGTTTCCTTTAGAGAAATTGGTGAAATATTTTAAAAGCAACATGAACTCTTATTTCTTTAATTATATCCTGATTAGTAGTTCTTTGATTTTAAAATATAATATATGAATAAATACTAATTATAGTTTTTAAATTTAGTATGAAATTGTGAGGCCAGCTATGATGTATGGTTCATAGTGTTGGGCGGTTGATAAGAAAGTAGAGCAGAGAATAAGTGTAGCAGAGATGAGAATGCTTAGTTGGATGAGTGGAGTGACTAGAGAAGATAGGATAAGGAACGAGCATATAAGAGGAAGTATAGGTGTTGCGTCAATCGTGGATAAGATGACAGAAAATAGACTTAGATTGTTTAGTCATGGTATGAGGAAAGAAGAATCGAAAGCTGTAAGAACAGTTATAGAAATGAATGTTGAAGGAAGAAGAGATAGAGGAAGACCAAAAAAGAGATGGAGGGATGCTATTGAATGCGATTTGAGGACAGCTGATGTGAGCGTAGAAGATGTGGGAGATCGTGTCAAGTGGAAGCTTAGGATAAGGGTGGCCGACCCCAAGTAGTTGGGATTAAGGCAAAGAAAAAGAAAAATATTACCAGATATTCCGGTGGCAATTGACATAATATGATTGTTATTTCGGAATGTACAATTTAGCGTTTAGTTGGGTTTAAATAATATAGCGTCAAATCAATTACCTACTCTATCGGTTGTATCTCAATATACACTACACTTTAATGATACAATAAATAAATAAACTCACACATACACACATATGCATTTATAACATTGTGTCTAATGTAAGTATAACATGATAAAAAGTAACCGTAAAATGAAAAAAATGGAATATAAATTTTATTACTCATATTAAATGTAATGTAACTCGAAAAATATTTGTTTAAATGAAAAAATATAAGATTATATTTTTATTTATAATTGTCTTTTAAACAACTTTTGTGCGAAACTTTTTTTTGTAAGTTAAATATTTTTTTTTGAGAAAATTAAGAAAGCTCATATTTTTGAACTTTTGCGAGGATTTAAAAAAAAAGCTCAATTCCAATCTTGAGGACTATTAGTATGTCATTATACATATTTTAATTCAACTTTTAAAAAAACAAAATTTTTTCCGCAATTTTTCCTTTGTTGACAGGCCTAGATGTCAATTTTAAACTTGTAATTGAGCTAAAAGTTATGGTAATATATTCAATTTATTTTACTATAAACTTTCATAAATCTTTATCAAAAATTTTTCATCAACTTTAAAGAACCAAAAAAATAGGTTAAAATTGAAAATTTGGACTGATTATTTTTAACATATTAAAAATCAAATCAGTAATAATTTGAAAACAAATTTTTTTTTCTTTTAATTATTATTTTATATATATAATTAGTAATAATATAAAAAATTAGAAGTGATAGAAATAGTCTACTTGCAGATTTGAAAACAACGCGAAAATTTGATTTAGAAAAGTATATTTTTGCTTCTGATGAAAGTTCCTTGTAGTCCAGTGCATTTTTTTATAGTAACAAACAGTTTTTATTGAAAATTATTGTATCAAGCCCTTTAAATTTTTATACACGTAAAAGTAAAGCAAAATATAACTTCTTTATTATTTTTATAATTTCTCCGTTTAAATTACAATATTAAATATCAATTTCATACTAAATTTAATAATTATAATTAGTATATATTCATATATTATATTTTAAAATCAAAGAACTACTAATCATGATATAATTAAAGAAATAAGAGTTGATGTTGCTTTTGGAATAATCCACCAATTGCCTAATTAAAACAAAAAAAAAAAAAGTTTGTTGGGAATTTTTTCTGCTATTCTGCAAAATTACTCCTTCGTTGACTAGAATGAATCATTAAATAGAAAATTTTATGAGAATTAAAACAATGTTATTTTTAAGATTAATATGCAGTCAGAAAGTTTTATAATTATTATTTATTGTAAATTTATCAGAAAAACTCATTATTTTTTGCATTTTTATCGTAATAGAACACTTAAATAGAAATCATAGTAATCATTTCTAAGTAATTTTTGATATTTAAAAAGATTCTACTATTGAAATATCCAGAACTGAATTAATTTTAATGATTTACTTTAACTAAAAAAAAAAAAGTTAATATTTTGAATCCCTCTTGTGGGCAGGTAAAGGGTTAGATTTATAAAAAAAACCAAATGATAGATAAAGACATGCATCTAAATAAAAAAAAATATACTGATTTGGTCATTTTTGATAAAGTTATAACAATTAACAAAGTTATAAGTTTTATACACTGGACTACAAGGAACTTCCATCAGAAACAAAAATATACTATTCTAAATCAACTTTTCGCGATGTTTTAAAATGTGCAATTAGACTTTTTCTATAACTTCTAAGTTTTAATATTATTAAAAAATAGTTTTTACATATAAAAAAAAATAATTAAGAACAAAAAAAATTGTTTTAAATTAATACTGATTTGATATAATATTTAATATTAATTTGATTATTAATAAGTTAAAAATAAGGAAAATGACATATTTAACCTATTTTGTTAATCGTTTAAAGTTGATTGTTGTAAATGTTTATAATAAAAAAAAAAAATTTATTTTACCATAACTTTTAGCTCAATTGGTAAGTTTGACATTGACATAATTAAATAGAAAATTTTATGACAATTAAAAAAATTGTATCGTTAAGATCAATATGCAGTCAGAAAGTTTTATAATTACTATTTATTGTAAATTTATCAGAAAAGCTCAATATTTTTTTGCATTTTTATGGTAATAGATAACTTAAATAGAAGTAATAGTAATAATTTCCTAGGAACTTTTGTTGTTTGTTGAAAAGATTCTATAATTGAAATATTGAGAACTTAATTAATTTTAATGATTTACTTTAACTAAATGTACCAATCAAAACAAAGTTGTTAAAAAGATTTACTCAATTGAGTGTATTATAAAATTTGATTATATTTGTAAAAATCAATTGTTAATTCAGGAGAAAAAACAATCATTTTTTTTAGAAATGATTTATATAGCAACATGTTACAAAAAAAAATTGTAATATTATAGTCTAGTAGTAGCACACACAAATAGAGTAAAAAAATTATTAAATTACAAAGTAAAATGATTTAATTTTGTAGTTGAAACCTATCATATCAAACTTCATTCGTTAATAAATATTTTGAAAACATTAGAAATTAATGATTTTAATTGTCTTTATGGAGACGATGTAATAACTAACTGTTTAATTGATAAATTAGAATTTTTTTTTCAATTTTTGAGAGTAATATCTTCAACTAGATACGAATTGTAGTAATTTGACGTATTGTTGAAAAAAGTAGGTCAAGTTAGAGCAGAGAAAATAAATGATAGTCACAAAAAAATATCTTCTCGGCTTTGCATCGAAGCGAAAACTTAAAATATAGTAAAATAATTTTAATACGAATAAGAAATTTCTTCTTGCAAGGGGCGACTAAAGTGATGGGATCCTTGATCTTTATTGAAGTTATTGAATCTAAATGTGATAAAAATCAAACGAGTTAAAATTTATACTAACTTAAAAAGAATTAAGAAAAAATGCAAAAAATTCATTGCCATATGCGGGTTGGAACCTCGTACCCCAAGCGTGTAAAACATAAATTTTACCAACTCGGCAACCGTACGTTGCTTCCGGCGGTTGAAAAATTGGCTATTTAAGCTAGTTCAAATTTCAAAGTTATTTTTCTCGACTTAAAAGAAACAAACATATTTAAATAAGTTTAACTATCTATACTATATCAATTTTAATTTATATAATATTTATGAAAATCTGTACTCCCCTTGTCAGGTATTTTAAAATAAAATAAAATACAAAACCCAGAATTTTAACACAAAAATAGCATATTTTTGCATACGGTAGTCATTTTTACCATGAAGACAAATCCAGAGGTCAAATTTTTTTTTTTCACATTAAAGTATATTACATAAGCTTTAATTTAAGATATATTTAAAAGTGTCAGTATTTCCGGAATACTTTCAAAAATTAAATTGAAAATATCGTAGTAACAATACGCATGTTTAAAGTTTTGACCCCCCTTGTTAAAGGGGTATGATCCGATTTACAAAAAAAGCGTGCCAGATGAAAGGGGTATATCAATATTTATTATAAAAAAATAATAATATAGATCCATACATTTTTCCAAAAGTTATATAAAATATAAATTAAATAATATAACATATAAAATCGAGATTTTTTTCACGGAAATCGTACGTTTTTCTTTAACTTTGATGTCCGTTTTCACCACGAAGACAAGTCCAGAGGTCAAATTTTTTTTTTTCAAATTAAAGTATATTACATAAGCTTTAATTTAAGATATATATAAAAGTGTCAGTCTTTCCGGAACATTTTCAAAAGTTAAGTTGAAAAAGTTCTACTTTCTATACGCATTTTAAAAGGTTTGCACCCCCCCTGTATAAAGGGAAATGGTCCGATTTTAAAAAAAAGTATGTCGAATGAAAGAAGTATATATAAAGTATTTATCATTAAAGAATAAAGTTGATTCATGCATTTTTTAAAAAGTTATAGCAACATAATGTTAAAAAATGTAAAATATAATATCAAGAATTTTTTCACAAAAATAGCATATTTTTGCATACGGTAGTCATTTTCACCATGAAGACAAGCCCATTAAAGAAATTTTTTTTTTTCAAATTAAAGTATATTACATTAGCTTTAATTTAAGGTATATATAAAATTGTCAGTCTTTCCGGAACATTTTCAAAAGTTAAGTTGAAAAAGTTAATTTTTTGTAAAAAAGTTACCATTTTGAAACCCCATCCTTTGGGCTGTTAAAGGGTCAAATGTTCACAAAAATATATAAAATGATAGGTAATTATCTAAGGTATCTATAAAAAAAAAAATTATATTGATTCGGTCATTTTTAAAAAAGTTATGGCAATTTTAAGTAAAAAAAATTGAAAAAATATCGAAAATTAGCGATTTTTAAATTTGTAATTTTTTGGGGGATTTCCCCCGTTTACGGGGAACGAGGGAATTTTTTTCAATTTTTGAGGGTAATGTCTTCGACTAGATACGATTTGTGATCTTTTGACATATTGTTCATCAAAATCGGTCCAGCGAGAGCTGAGATTGAGCGTTCACAGACACAAAAAAAAAAATAAAAAAATAAAAAAAAAATAAAAAAACACATCATAGTAAAATTAATACCTTCTCAGCTTCGCATCGAAGCTAAAACAAATCATACAAGATGAAGTTAATACCTTATGAAAAGTTTATTTTTAAATACACGCATAAGTTTGAAAAATGTGTGACGTCAAATCATGGAGTGTGGGTTCTAAAAATGTGTCAACCTGTGACAATGACGGGGGTGGGGTTTAAAAGTTTTTAAATTTGTGTGACGTAATTTGTGGATGGCCCCGTATTAATAAAATGAATGTAGTTTAATTAAATTTGTAATTATCATTAATTTATTTAATTATATCAAAACATATTTGCTTAGTAAAATTTTTTTTTTTTGTATATTAAATACATATTAAATCTGACTATAAATAAGTTTTACAGTGTAAAATTTATTTTTGGGTCATGTTAATTTTTTATTATAACCCGTTATAACCATTGAAAGTATAAGTCGTTTACGGATTACTATAGATTATAATTTATTAACCACAATTATTATCAATTACAATTAGAAGATTGTTATTAATCGAGTAATCCATTATGATTGAATTATTTTAAAAAAGTATTGATCATTTTGTAATATAAAAACGCAGTACTATTCCCAATTAGCATACTTATTTATCATCGTTAACATATAAATGAAAAATCATTTGTTATCAATATTTTAAATAATTGTTGAAAATGTAATAATAAATTAAGACAACACGACGGCTGTTGGCGACTG